AAAAATGTTTTGTGAAAAATTATTAATCACAAAATAGTTTAAAAATTGTAAATATTTTTCTATTTTTGCTGATGAAGCTTCTGACAATTATAGTAAAGAACAACTGTTATTAATTATATGGTTTGTTGCTTCAAAGTTCAATAAGAGAACGTATCAGCTTCTTAGATTGCAAAAATGGTGTTACTAGTAAGGATTGCTTTTTGGTAAAAAGTATTTCAGATTCTTTTTTATATATCATTGGTTGCAGAGTTTATTGATATGATAAAGCTAGAGCAGTTGATGGTCACATTAAAGGTTTGTCCTCTTGTATTTTAAATCTGCATGAAAAACAGCATACTTTGATGGCAACAGTCATAGACTTATTTTAGTTGTTTGTGCCTCATACAAAGTGCAATATGGCAAGTATCTTTTTGGCACAATATCATCTTTTGCAATATGTCCAAAGCCAGCGCGATAGGGGTGTGTGACACCCCCCCCCCCATTAATGATTTTTTTGTTCATTCAGTCGGCAAATTTGACCTTTTTTAACTAGTTAGTCGGCAAATGTAGACCCTTTTGACAAGTTAGTCGGTAAATTTAAACAGTCAGTTGGCAAATGTTGTTACGGTAGTCGGAGAGCAGTTGGCAAATTTTAATAAGCGAGAACCTTTTTTTTTTTTTTTAGTGGGCAAAAGTTGTAATGGTACATTGCACTAAAAGAAAAAAAAAGGTTCTTGTTTTGCCCACACGTGACACCTACTCGTCCCGGCCCTTTATACTTTTTAAACTTGTACGTACTAGGCAACAAAAGTTAGAGGAGCATATTGAAAGTACCGTTCCATTGGCTAATAAAAAAAACAATTAAAACGCTTTTGTAAAACATGTTGGGTGGAAAAAATTCACTTTTTTTTGTCAAAAGTAATTAAACGTTTGAAGTCAAAAATGACTTCAGAAGTTAAATTATATCTTTTAGTGACTTTTATGAAACATATTTACTGAATTCCCATGCTTTAACCTTGTGAACATCATTTATGTGAAGCCTTTTAGTTAAATTTAAAAAGTTAGTTTTAACATTAATATTACTGAGTTGTTAAAAGTCTTAAATTTTCCTGGTAGTGAAAGCATTAAAAATTTATATGATATCTTCCATTAACTTCATGTGAATGTGAGTGGACATGCTATTCATTTTGGCACCTGAAATATATATGTTAAGCACCATGGTACAGTGCCAAACAATAATAACTCCGATATGGTGTTATATTATTTTTATATATAAAATGTTGTATTTGTTATATTGGCAAATGCTTTTGTTTTTTTAATTAAAATTTTTTTTATTTTTTATGTATTTACCAGCAAGATTTAATAAAATGAAGGTTTTAAAATTTTTTTTTTTTCAAAATGTGGCATTAAGAATGTATCTCTAAATACCTCTTTATATAATTTAAAATTGCATATTATAATATACAAATTTTTTATTATAAAACAAGTTATTTTATAATATATTTGTTAAAATATAAATATAAAATTTTGCATTGTTTAATTTATTTTATTAATGTAATGTGAAAATATAGTTTTTAATAATAGGTCTGTAAATCTTATATATATTTGTCAATTCTGATTGATTGCTTGATTGTTTGATTGGATTGCTGTTGCCTGTTGCGTCGCTTTCCAAAGAGTCAGCTCGGGGGTCGGTTTGCTCTTTGCATGTTGCTGCGGGAAACGGGTGGGGAAATTTTGTTTTTTGGTGGTAATTAGTTCATTTTTGGTTCTTTTATTTTCTGGTAGTCAATTTGGTACAAGAGCATTGTTCTTTTCAAATAAGTATTGTGCATGAATATATATATATATATATATATAAAATGTGTGAACGGTGTATATAAAATCCCCGGATGTATATAAATCTCTTTGCAGTGGTTTTTTTTACAGTACCAGGATTGAGAGTTTTTTGGTCAAGTAATTGGAGGATATATATTTGGAGGGTGGATTTTCTTTGTACACTAGCAACTATAATTTGTTTTACCCAGCGACGCGGGCAACTTTGCAAGTAATGTGTAAATATACAATTTTATAATCTAAAAGTAAAGTGTCCCGGTGATAACCTTGTATATTTTTAATTGAAGAAAGGCTCTTAATAGGTTAACTTATATATATATGTATAAAAAATTTATCTAATATTCCAACTATAGTTTAAAACTTGCTCAATGTGCCAACTCAAATGCTTATGACAGCTTGGGGGGAGGGGGGAGGTAGACATCTTGACACCCCCTCCTTTGGACGGCCTTAGGGAGGGGGTATGAGGTTGTTCCAAAAATCAGATGTACCCAAATAATTTTCTGGGTCCACCACTGGAACCCTACCATAAATTACAGAGGTGTGATTTACAGAAAAACTGTATTAATTTAACTAATTTAAGTCATTTTTTTTTTATAAAGTAACCTTAAATATCTCAAAATTTAATCTTTTTACTAATTAACTGCAAAAATTAAAAAACTTTAAAAAATATGGTTGATAAATAGCGGTACAGTAGAGTTTGACTTGACTCTTCTTTTGACCAAATTACAAAAGTTGGGTAACAGTTTTTAGCTCAGTTTTTACGGCAAATTATGAACTTAGACACGTACGTACTTTCAACAATATTTTATCAAAACTTTTTATGACTACACTACCTACAAACAGATTTAATATACGCGTTTCATCATGACAATATACCACTTAACTGCCATGGACAACAATCTTGCTCCCAACAAAGTCAAGCCACATTTTAGCAAAGTACGCTACTTGGCTAGCAAGGTCAACACTCTTGCTGTAAACTATAATTATATGTCACAACAATTTCAAACAATGCAAACAGCATAATAACCACTTAAAAACTATAAATATATAACATTATACCAAAAACATAGAAACACTCATATATAAAAGATATTTATACACTTACAAAATATAAACCCATATAACCTTAACACATATAAACACATAATAAATAACACACAAATATAAATAGATATATAAATTAAGAAAAATATATATTAATTAAAAACATTACTTTTGTAAAAACATTTTTCAAAAACATTATTTTTGTAATATTTGTTTAATGAAATACCTCGAAATAAATGTTTAACAATATGGAAAAACAAACGATCAAACGATCTGGTTTTTTATATAAAAGCTAACGGATTTTTTTTTAACTTCTTTAAAATGAGGTATTAAACAATCTTGTTCTTTAACATGTAACATAAAGTTGACCATGTAAAATGCAAGGGTTTTGGAGATAACACTAACTTTATTAGAAGTTTGACCTCTTGATCTTTGAAAAGAGCAACGTCTTTTAGAGTCATCATCGTCCATAGCAACATCAAACAAACCGGTCAATTTTTTGTTTTTTTATTGTAATTAATGAAGATTTACTCGCGCGGGGAGTAAGAGGTTTATGATCTGCATAATGGCAACCTTACCGTTTAGCAAAGTGAATAAATACAACTTTACTGTTTAGCAATGTCGATAAATAGCTTTTCATTAATAGAAGGGTAAAAGTCAATAATAAACCAATTTCTGACGTTTTTAGTACTATTCCCTTAATTTAAATGCAAAATATTTATTAGTTAGGTGTTAATATCGAATAAAGTATGTTTTCTTTTTCTACCAACTTCATTCTTAGCTGGGTTAATCAGACGAACAGTAGGTTTAATACTTAATATATATATATATATATATATATATATATATATATATATATATATATATATATATATATATATATATATATATATATGTGTTTCATCAATAAACACTCATCAGAAGTGAACGGTCAAATTAATAAAACTTTAATTTATACCAAAAAATAAATTATAGCAAGCTGCAAATGTCTAAACTGTAAAACTGTTTTTTTGGAATTTGCTGACACTGCTATAAAAATAATTCTTTGGAAATGATTACTTTTTTTCTAAAAAAGCTTTTTGCTTTTTTAGAAAAATATTTTTTAAAATGGGGACTTAATGTAACTATTATTTGAGCTTATTTGTTTTATAGTTTTTTAGGAGAAATTTATTTTCGTGCCTGCATTTGCAAATTAATCTCGTTTTTTTATTTAACAAACTTTCTTGGTTTGCATGTGTATTTATTTTAAAATTTCTTGTAGGCATAGTATACATTTTCTAGAAATATTGTCATATGCAGACGCTGTTTTAAGGATAGACCAATTCAGTTTAAAATCATCAGTATTTTTATCTTTTAATTCCCATATATTTTGACAGCATGGTGTCTTTTGAATACTTTTTATTTTCAAAAGATTGCATATGATTGGCAAAAGGGTTTTTTCCATTCACTCTCTTTTATGCCAATATATTGTTTATTAGGCACATTCATAGAGAAAACAACACATTTTTTTTTTGTTGTAGTTATTTTAGGTGCTCCCAGATGTTCATTCGGTCTTATCATAGAGCACCGCGTGAGAGCATTTAACAAGAAGGTCACGCCTCCTTCCTTACCAATATCGCTTGTTGGGCTAAAGTTGGCGTCGAACCTGGAACCTCTTGGTTCTAACCAGAACTTTAACCACTGCGCCATGGCTGCTCATTTATATACCACATTTTTTCCTAAACAACTTCCACTCATTGAACAATTTTTTTTTGTTTACAAATACAATTTTCTGTAGTTTTTTTTATGTATTTTTTTTGAGCCAAATTACATTTCTAGTTTTATTTCGCTTTTTTCTTTTCCTTTTTTTTAGGGCCAAATTTTAGTTCAAAATTTTCAAAACCACTTTTTTTTAAGGCATCTTTAAATATTCGTATAGAGAATAGATGAATACATTTTCATAAGTGGAGTTTCGGTTTAGCCTGTTATGAGGGGGAGGAGGGTTTGACACAACTTAGTCGGTTAATTTTTGTTTTGAGGACTTTTTTTTTTTTTTTTAATTTTGAGGATTCACCCCTTCCCCTCATTTTATTTGTAGAATCGCCTCTTTATGCGTATGTACGGATAAATTTATTAAAAAAAAAGCTAATAAAAATAACTAATAATTGATTGATAAGTAATAATCAGTTTATTGTTTCCATTTACAAATTTCAAAATGCTTTACCATATTATTAGTTATATAAAATAACATATTTTTTCATACTTTTATAAATAGACAAAGACAAATTTTTCCCAGGAGTCTGGAACATCACGGTTAGCAATAAGGTTTCCTCTGGCTGCAGCTTCAGCGGTCACAATCTTTCCATTAGCGTGTGACCTAAAGAAAACACTGTCATAGCTAGGATTAAGGGTGAATGTTTCCCATTCCCCAGCATAATCTCTGTTGGCAATGAGAAAACTCTCTCCACCATCTTCTGCGCATACGAATTTTCCATTTGCTAAAGATTTAAGAGTAAACGTTTTGGGGTCAGAGAAACAGATTTCAAAGGTCTCCCATAGAAGCGCGTGGTCTCTATTGGCAATTAAGGGTTGCTTACCTCCGTTCTCAGCACAAACAAACTTTCCATTGGTTAAAGATTTGATAGCAACTGTAAATTTTATGGCCATTCTAATTGATTATTCTAAGAAAAAAATAAATAAGTTTTATTTTTGATATTGCTGCACATTTTTAAAAAGGTTTTGTTAAACTAATTTTCTATAAAAATGGGAAAAGTTAGTCAATATAAAGTATTCTAGCATTAAAAATTGAATAATTTTAACATGTACATTTTAATAAACTTTAAAAAAATAAATTGTTTAAAGTTTGACCTATTAAATCGTTTAAATCTTGTTTTTACCATTGATCAGGTTTTTGTACAAATTAACATAAAGGAAGGATGCGTGAACTTCCTAATAAAGTGCACTTCCAAGGTGCTCTGTGACAAGACCATGAGGTCTTGTCAAAGAGCACCTTTTTTTTTTATACCTAAATGTATATAAAAAAAAATCCTCCACAGTAATTCTACAATCTATACAATGGTTATAACTTGCAGCACAAAATACCTTGAAATAAAAACCAGGATTGACACCATATGCAATACGTATGACAGATTCAATAAATGCTGCTTTTCAACTTTTTTTATCCCAATGGTCTTCAAAATAGTTCTAACTAAATCAAACAAAAAAAGTTAAACTATTTTTAAAGAAAAGTGGGGACCAATATCTGATGATAAACTAAATAGATTTCTTGGACTTTTATTTTTAGCAGGTGTTTTCCGATAAGCACGTGAGGCTACAGAGGAGCTATAGGATACTAGTGATGGCCAGCAGATATTTCGTTCTGTAATGAGTCGTGAGCGTTTTCATACCATTTCAAGAGTTTTGAGATGTGACGATAAAGGAACTCAAACATTAAGAGAAACCCTATTCGTGAGGTTTTTGACGTTTAAGTACAAATATTTTCAAATAGTTTTAGACCTTATGAACAGTTGATGAAAAGCTGGTTCCATTTCGTAGACGTTGTTCCTTTAGAAAATATATAAAATCCAAACCAGCTAAATATGGGTTAAAGCTGTGGTTATTGTGTGATTCTACTACCAGCTATGTCTTGAATGCAGAAAGTTATACTGGTTGTGTTTTTGAAGAAAGTCCAGGAAGAACATTAAGGACAAAGAGTAGTATGTGATTTAGTTAAAGTCATAAAAGGATCTGGAAGAAAAGTTTCAATGAACAGTTTTTTCACATCAGTAACAGTTGCACGAGAACTTTTAGAGAAAAAAATAAGCCTAGCTTGAACGATGCGCAATAAGGTCACTAAGAACGATTAAATTTACTCTCATATTTCCCAAAGTCAATCAATATGCTGAGTAGCAATCATCGTGGTGCAGAGTTATCGAATCGTCCTGACAAAAAACCACAGATAATTCTGGACTATAATTCAACGAAGATACTCTTGACCAAATGGTATCTACTTTTTTTACAAAGAGATTGACCCACAGGCAAAAAGAGGTAGATTCAAGCTTTAAGTTAAATCACTTGATAAACAATTTTGTATGCTGTACATTGGAATTTCCCGAACTCTTATTCCAAATGCAAAATTCTGGAAAAGAAGGAAGGACAACTGAGAAATTTTTATCAGAATGCGAATTAATTTTAAGTTTGATTATTCTGAAACAAAATTTTTAGTCTTAGTTTACAATTCTTTTTCATTGAATGATTTTCATCTGGCATTTACAAAATTGCCAAGATTTCTTTAGAAAGGGTTTTTTGATATTCTAGGTATAGTTGAGGCATGTTGAAACTAAATCCATAGATAAGACATAGATAATCCATAGATAAGACATAGAGGCATGTTGAAACTAAATCCTGAAACACAGGTTTCCACAAACACTGATTTCCAGAAGTCAATTTAAAAGATCCTCTAACTAGTGTCTCCATGATGTTTTTCTTGTGTGATGGAGCCTGAAATTATTTTAGACTTTTATTGTTTGATTCTCACGCCTCTTCATTGGTCAGGCTAGTTGAAATAGGGCATTTTTATTGATGTCTTTCATATCTGATATTGATAACAAAGTAAAATATTAAAAATTGTTATACCCGTGGCAGATTTTTTACTGTAGTTAAATTGACAATTTATTTAAATTTTCAAAAGTTTTTAAGCAGTGCTATCAGTTGTTGTATATTCGGTACCTTCGTCACGTCGTTAACTAAAAGTCCCAATTCAGTTTGACAAGCAGATTTTACTTGAAGTTAATGATGAAATATTTTTGTATTTTGTTCTATATTTGAGCTTCCTAAATAAAAAAATTCCTGTATTTTTAAGATATTTTAGAACTTTCAGATTCTGGTGGGGCAGGGTGGATGCATTCCCTTCCCCCCACCCTGGTTACTGCAACATTGGTCTTATTTAAACTAATATTTTCAGAGTATTTAAAAAGCTTTACAATATTTTGAAAAACAAATTTCAATTCAAACGTAGTAAATTAAACTTACCCTTCTGTTCAGACTTGTTGAATGTTTATAGAGATATTTTTGTTTTGAATTTATTAGACTTTTCTTTTACGCTTAACGTTTGGTAGAACAACAAAAAAAATTGACAGCTACATTTTGATGTCGCCCGGATATTGTTTTTTTTTATTTAGAAAAAGAGTCACTGTGCCGGTGTATTGCGTTCACGATATTTTTTCTGGTTAATAAGGATGACATATTTTATCATTTAACAATTAGCTTTTGGCGGACAAGGGCGGATGAAACCAGTTATATTATTGTGAAAATAGCACTTTGTTTCCTATTAGTCACAATTGTTTTGTCTAGCAGATGGCATTCTGATGAAAAAATTAAAATATCTTAATTGTAACTACTGTCTAATTTTAATTAATTACAATTACTATCTAATTAATTATATACTATATACTTTATATTATATTACTGTATAATTATAATTAATTGTAATTACTGTCTTAATTTTTATTACAAACTGTCTGTTGTAATTGTAATTACAAACTGTCTATTTATAAACAATCAGTGATTCACGAGATAATAAAAAAAAGGAGTAAGAGTATATGTTTAAAAATATTTATAAAAACTACAAATAAAACCATGCTGAATCAAATTTGAACTTCAAATAACGATTTGTTTAAAGAAAAAAATTTAGAAATTCATTGAAATAATAATACTAGGTATAAGTAAAAAACATTGTAATTAGGTGCGTATATCTACTGCCGGTTAGATAGTTAGGTGCGTATATCTGCTGACGGTAAAACTGAATTGTTGGAAAAGTTTATTAATAGTAGTCTTAAAAACAAGTATACATAAATTTAAACGCTGTTTCAAGCCAAAAATATCAAAAAATAAAATCTTTTTTCGACATGACATTTGAATATAATATCTTACCAGTTATAAATAAACCAACCTAAGGGCATCCTAAAGTTATAGCTCGGAAAAATGCAACCAATGATCAATTAATACAAAATTTTTTCTAATAAATTATAGCAAAATTAGAATTAAAACAACTATTTTAAAACAATACTTTTTTATCTCCAACAAAAAGTGTCCGAATGAAATAATAAAAATTTAACATAACTTAATTCTTGGATAAATAAAACAGTTAAAAAATGTTTAAAAAGTAAACAAAAATTCAGTAACAAATTTAAAAGAAAAGAACTTAAGAATTATGTGAAAGAACTAAATATTACTCACACATAAATCTTAGTACTGGAGAACTAAAAATTATGTGTGGAGTCTGTTCTTGATTTGCTCCTGAATTTATTTTGATGGTTGTAATCATTAAAAATAAAAATCAGTTAAGCGAAACTCGATCATGTTTGCTGATGACACAAAAACGGATCTTGCATTTTTTTATGTTTGAACAAACTCAAAACATTTATATGTTTACGCTTGTGTCAAATAAAAATGCTTTTCAAAAAAATGTTAGAGCTCTTGAACAAAAAAAGCGCTACAATTTTTGCCCCCTGTTCCAAACGTGAGAACAAAAAATTGATAATATTTTTAAACTATTTTCGTCCAAAATTTTATTTACCCGTAAATTTTAAATTTCATAGAATGATCTCATGACGTTCTTACACTTTAAGATCCAGATGATTTAACATTCATTAGAACTTCTAGCAGAGTAATCAGGAAAAGGGGCATTGGTTCAGGTAAAAATAACTTTAATTCTCACATACGACTTCTTTTAACTTATGTGTTTACTTTTATTAATTGATCAATAAAAATTAATTCAGGAAATCATTACAAAAATACTGAAAGGAGGAAGATTCAGATAATAGCATCAGCTCCAAAAATTCCCGTGACATATCATAACTGTAAGATATTCATAGAGAAGGGTCAAATCAATCTTCTATTGTTTAACTTTACTGGTGACCTAAAACTCTTAAATATTATGTCTAGAATAATGTCACGTGCATCAAAATACCCATGCTTATACTGTGAATCTCCAAATAGCGAAGGAAATAAAGCCTGGCAGATGCTACACTCAGAACATTTAGGAATATTAAAAACCACAAAGAGGATTGGCTAACCTCCGGAGGTAAAAAGGTCAAAGCAAAAGAGTATACTAACTGTGTGGCAACTTTTTTGTTCTTTCATGAAGATGATCCTGATGACAGCTTAGTGATCCTTAAAAGTCCACCACCAGCCGTTCAACTTAAGTTGTCCCTAAATCATGTCCTTAAAGAACTACAAAACATTTGGCCAGGACTTCAAATTTGGTTAGCACGATATTTTATTTTCTTCGAACCATGCCATGGTGACACACTTGAAGGTAATGAGTGTTCTAAGGTTCTAAGATGATCATTTAGCATTTGTTGTGCAATACGCGCTCAAAAAATTATAAATAAATATGGCGGCCAACTACAGTTTAAAATCCGTGCGAGATTTAGTTCTTTTAAGTTACGCCGATGATTTAATAGATGATGAAGAATATATAATTTTAAATGAGTTAAACAAGTCTCGCGAGTCATATCCATATTGGAAATATGACAAGTTTAATATTAACACTTGGGATGATGCACAATGTTAAGTTGATTTTCGTTTCAAGAAGAACGATCTCGCCACTTTAGTTCATATTTTTAGAATACCAGAAAAAACAATAACCTCGCAGAGAACCATATGCAGTGGTTTAGAAGGGCTTTGTGTTTTGCTAATACAATTTGCTTTTCCGTGAAGATACACCGATATGACATCATTATTTGGTAAAAAATCTACAGAGATATGCCTTATTTTTAATACAGTAACTGATTTCATGTATGAATCTCACTATCATAGGCTTAACAATTGAAATCAACCTATCCTTAAACCTCATAAACTGAAAGAATACTGTGATGCCATTCACCAAAAAAGATCCCCATTAAATAATTTCGGATTTATCGATGGTACAGTTCGAGGGATCGCTAGACCTCAAGTTAATCAGAGAGTTGTTAGTTTTTAATTTATTACTATTAATTTATTTGCTTTTGCTCTTTTATTAATAATTTCTATTATTATTTAACAAATTACCGCATTTATTAACTTACAAACTTTATATAAATATATTGTAAAAAACCTTAAAAAAATTTTTTGTTTTCTAATACTAGGCCAGAACTTCCTCTATAGATCTTAGTTATAAAAAATTCAATTTAACTTACTTAGAGAATTGCCTGCAAAAAAAAAAAAAGCAAAATAAAATACCAGTATAGGTTTTGAATTTAATTTTTCAGGCTCCAAGAACAGGAAATTGTAACTTGTCCGATGAATCAAATGATGAGCCATCTGAAAAACCAAGTGATGGTGGATATAAACAACAAATTTTCTAATAACTAAATAATTTTTTTTTTTGTATAAAATTATGTCCTTGTTTCATAAAGTTTTTTTTCCTTTATTTTTGACTGATAATGTAGATTAGGATAAGGTTGTATTTTTAATTAAATGTTATTATATTTTATAAATACTTGCTTTTGTATATAGAGTGTTCCCGTAGACATGTGACATTGAAAACTTTGCCATTATGAGAGGATAAAAATGTAAATAAACTGTTTGCGGTATTGATTTTAAATGCAATTTATAATTGTTTTAATTTGATTTAGGTTTCAGCGTGGCTTAATAATCAACTTTCCTATAGTATAAATCTTTTTTTGATTTAAATAAAATCAGTATCAATTTTAACAATTTAAATATTTACTGAAAAGAAATGTCTAATTACAAATGGTATAGATCCTTACTCAATTCAAGACAGCGAATTCAAAAACAGTGAACAAATTTTTCCAGCTGTAACTTACGCTGATGTGTTAAATTATCTTGTATTTTCACCAAGTTCTTATACAGCTGAGGATATGAAGGCCTATAAAAGCTTAGAAGCATATAATCAAGTGTTAGAAGGATGGGTTAAGAATGTGGGAGTTATTGGCATAGGAAGTTTGAGAATTGTTATGGGAAAGGTAAGAAACAAAATATTGATAAAGCATGTATATATAATTTTATAATTTTAAATGTTTGAATCTATTTAATACTTTATAATTTGTATTTTAAGGTGTTTTATTCACGCCTTAATGATGCCCAACTTAGTCCATGGATTGTTGCAGAATGTAGTGGTAAAATTGTATGTGCACACTGTAATTGCATGGCGGGTCTTGCATATTGCTGCAGTTCTATTTTGGATTGACCTAACTGTTAAAATGCGAGAATCTAAAACAGTAACTGATTACAAATTTTACTGGTTACCTCCAAACTCTCCAGCACAGTTAACACCAAAACGTTTATGTGAAATCGATTTTCGATCAAGCATAACCAAAAAACGAATATTAGACAAAAGTTTGGAAGATGACCCAAATGATTGCAGTACTTCTGCATTAGTTTGTTCTACAGTTAAGAAATCAGCGATTGAAAAGCCAACACATCCAGAGCTAAATGTATTTTTTAATAAACTTAATAAATCAAAATCAAAGGCAGCTATTCTAAAAGTAATCCCTGAATATGCCTAAGCATACTCTACAGAATCTGATCATCTTAAAGTACCTTTAATGAGCGATTTATATTCTTTAGATAAAAAAACTCTTAATAACATGGAGTTGCAATCTTATTGTGAATCTGTTTATCCTAGTTTAACTTTAACAACTGAGCAAATAGTTTAAATAGAAAGTTTGACACGATTACAATCAAGCTCTAGTTTTTGGCTCCAATTTTGATGTGGTCGAATAACTGCATCTGTTATGAAAGATGTTTGTCATTCTGATAATGAGAATCCTTCTCTATCTATTTTTAAAAAAATATGTTATCCTGCAAAATTTCGACGCTACTGATTGGGGAATTCCTCACGAAAAAACTGCTAGAGAAAAATATATAAATCTTATGACTGCATGTCATGAAAACTTTAAAGGCAATTGGTTTTGTCCAGAATGCAGACGAAAAAGAAACATTTTAAAAGTAAAAAAGAAACTTGCTGCAAAAGCAAATAATTCTATATTTCATTATTTCATTAACAATTTTACATAAATATACATATATATATATATATATATATATATACATATATATATATATATATATATATATATATATATATATCCACATATATATATATATATATATATATATATATATATATATATATATATATATATATATATATATATATATATATATATATATATATATATATTTTTTTTTATATTATATTTACTTATATAGATGAAGTTGTTTTACGTTCATTTTAAGAAAGATATGTTTATTAAATTAATATGATAACATATTGTCAAATTGTTATTTAAATTAAATGCAAATTAAGTGCTACTAAAGACGGACATAAGTTAACTAAAGCACAGGCAGAATGAACAATTTTGTCTAATGTTGTATGAAATTCTCCTTCTTTAGTAAAAAAATAGTTAACTGGTATTTTTTTGTTGAGAATTAAAAACTTTTGTCGCAAAGTACCAATAACACGCTCAACATGTATTCTAACGTTTGCTAATTGACGTGTTGTGATAACTTCAGAAGCACTAAGCTAATCTTTTCCTCGTGTAAAAGCAGGAATTTCCAATTGTGCTCCGAGTGACTCTACAATATCATCAATATTAAAAACTCTATCAGCCATAACAGTGTCCCCATAAGCAAGCTTATTCAAATAACCACAATTTTCCGTGTCACTCGTTCTACCGCCCCATTCTTTTGAAATAAAACTTATTGTACCTTGTGGGGTTATATAATCAAATATTTTGCAGTATTGTTGTGTTTATAAGATGACCATGTTAGGCATCTATCTGTTAGGTTACTAGGTCTATCAATAAACAACTCAAAGCAATCAATAATACTTGTAATTTTATCTCCAAATTTCCTTTTAAATGTAAAAAGCATAGTTTTTATTATTTCTGACCATTCGGGCCATATAATGAATGGTGATAGTTTAATGAAAAATACATTGATCATGTGAAGAAACAATCTTGAGACAGTTGTTTTTGAAACACGAAAACGATGTGCAAGATCTTTTGTTCCAGATCCCAAATGCAGTTTCATTAGACACAAAACTACCTGACAAAACCTATTTAGAGTGCATGGAGTAATTGCATCTT